GATTCCGCGAAATGCCGCCAATAACTGAACTCAGCCAAGGGGCAACAATAACCGAAAACCCTTTTAGTCAATTAGTCGCTGATTTTCTTTGTGCTCGACGTTTTTTCACTTTTCATTTTTTTTTTTTTTTTTGGCTGAAATTATAATAAAAATCGCATTCACAATGAGAGGATGCGAGGCGAACCCTTTGGCAGCGTTTGGCACGTTTTACGATGCAAAGTACACCCACACAGATACATATAAGCTACCTATATGCAGTTATAGATAGAGCTCATCCATAATTTTGACCTGTAGGTTTTTTAATTTTTCGCCGAAGTGTTTTCATTATGCAATAAAAAACGTTTTCCAAGTGCCGAAAATGCTTAGCGAGCGATCTATGGCAGCAACCCGTTCGGAGCGGCCCTACCTGGCCAATTGTTCTATCTGGCATTCCATTTTTTTGTGCATAAAAAACACGCTCAAGGACGCCAGGACGATAGGTAAAGGATTGCACAAATATTGCATCTTTGTTGCCGCGGAACGGCAACCAGCTCAATTATGCTCGATCTTTGGCTTTATGGCATCTGCTGTTTTGCCGCTTCATTGTTTTTTACGGTCCGCCGGCTCCGGGCATGGTTATACATATCTCTTCTTTTTTTTTTTCGCTGAATCTGGTTTTTACGGCGAAATTTGCAACTCTTTGGCAACGGACGCGACTTTTTATGGCCAGCAGGTAAATGGTCAAATCAATGAGCTCTTTTCCTTTACACATACATATATGTATGTATATGTGTGTGTGCGTGTGCGTGTGTGTGTGCGTGTGTGGGTGGGTGTATGGTTGCGCTGCGTTTTAGTTTAATCCACCATTTTTACGGTTGGATTAGCGCTGGATTAGCATAAGCTCGCGGTTTTTTACTGATTATTAGGCAGCGAAATGTGCAAATTCTTTTCGCAATTCTCTTTCTTCTTTCAATCGGCATTCAATGGGGCACTAAAAAGTGAATGAGCTGCCTTACCGAACATCATTTGATTGATAGAGATGTGTGTGAGCTATGATATAGGAGTATCTGCCTTTTATAGTGATTACTTGCATTAGGCTGACTGTGGACATCTCTGTGGGCAGGAGTCCTTATCATTGTGGTCTATAATAGTAAGGCTTATGTTTCTCTGCAATTATTTCCTGGGAACGGTGTTGAGTGTAGAAACTTGGACTGACGGTGGACATCTCTGTGGGAAGGAGTTCCTATCATTGTGGTCCACGGTAGTACGGCTTATGATACTTCACATTAATGTCCTAGGAACGGTGTTGTATGTAGAGGCGAGAAGTAGACAAGTCGGGGACTTTAAAAGAGTTAGAGAGTCCGAGTCATTCTTCGTTTTGATATCAGATCATAGACAAGTTTTACCCAAGGATAGAAACGAATAGATGAGCTAGCTTAGGCAGTAAGAAAGAAGAAGAAATAAGAAATACAGAACAATATTTTACTATTATTTTATTTATTACGTTGTTGACCAAAAATATATATCACCAAAGGAATTCAGAGTTTAATGCTCTAAGAATAGCCTAAATAAGCATTCGAAATATTTTACATATCCGATATACATATGTCAAGTAGCCTACACATCCTAAATAATATCCTAGCCCATTGTAATTAAGCAAGCTATAGACAAGTTCATAGTAAAAGGAATCTTCCATTCAATCTATATCCATTCATCCAATATAAATGCCTTCCAGTCCGATAACATAGTCCACATATAAACTCTTGTGGGACTTGTTATAGAGTATGTGTGCAGGAAGTATATCCTTTAGCTCCTCCAGTTTAACCAAGAGTAGTTGATCTCTTCACAGAGTGCTTCCCTTAGACCTATCTAAAATTCTGTCTGCTGCTGATTTTAGCTGAATCACATATTTCTTAGCCAACTAGAAGTAATAGCTAACTGGAGATTTCATGATGAGCAACCTTTCGAGTTATATGATTTCGATATTTGGCCAGCTATTGACACACTTGAGGTTGGGCACTTCCGCCTGTCGCGACATTGTATGTTTTTACAAACGTTGAGACGCAGAGCCGTTAGCAGGGGCTAACAGTTAAGTAAAGTTAAACAAAAAAGGCTAGCTATCCCACGCTCAGGGCAAAGGATGCGCCGGGACAAGTGGGCAAATAGACGGATAGATCGATACAAATGAACTGGGACTGGGACTGGGAATGGCGACGACACTTGTTTGTCGTCATGAATCAAAATTCGAGTGATTGGCCAAGAGCAGCACGATTTGGCCTTAGCGCGAGCTCGTCCAGTGTTTCCAGGAAGGCTTTTTGCTGGTCGCCCGGTTAAGAAAGGATGCGCTAACGCGCGAAAGGCTCGCCAGCCTAATTTTCATAATTTGTCACGCACAATCATTTGTGTAAGATGTGCATAAAATTTGCAAACACACACACACACACATATATACAGACACACACACACTAGTCTGGGCTGATCAGCAAAAGGATTTCGCAGACAAAAGCGCAAAACAAACGGATTTAACTATTCGTAACCCTTGGCCTTAGTAGCCTCGCTCTGTCTAACTACCTTTCTCCCTCTCTCTCTCTCGCTCTCTCGCTCTCTTTCTGCCTCTGTTTCTCAACTTCAAATGCCCGCTGTGGCATTGGCTTAGGCCGTAATTGCTTCTAGAACAGCTCCTAATATCGCCTCGACCCTAGCCTCAATTGAGCTCAAATATTTATAATCGAATATTTAATCTTTGATTGTTTTTTCGATTTTCTTTTGATTTGTTTTCTGTGATATCAGTTCTATGACTCAGATAGTTATTATTTTTTATATACTTAGGCAATTGTTTATTTCTTTTTCAGCTTTAATGCTAATGAAAGAAATCGAGCAATCTTAGCTTGAAGCAAGTATTTATTGAGATTTTAGTAATACTAATAGATTTTGTATCTTGATTTTCATAAGATTTCAATATTTTACTACTGTTTTCTGTTGCTACTGCTTTGACAATCAAATTTTCCCATCTATATGATTTCCGAATTGCTTTTTCATTTGTCCTCATATAAAATCGTATTTTACATCGCATTTTTACCTCTACTTTGACCTCATTTTAAAGTCCATTGTTTCATAGACTTGAGTATTAGTCCAAACGTAAGTTTTTTCCTTAAGAGAGCGACTATACATCATCCAAATTTTTGTGGTATAATTCATTATGCTAAAATTTAAAACTTTTCTTTATGATATGAAAATGAATGTATATATGTATATTCAAGAATATAATTCTTTAGTTTATAAAATAATTTTACACATACAAATAAATAATACTAAATGAGGAAATATATATTAATATGACTATATTCAAGTGTTTATAATGTTGTGATTTATTTATTTTTTTTTTAAGTTTCCAGTTTTCCAAAAAAATTATGGAGCATTTTTCAATTGCATATAACTATGTAGTTTTAAACATAATAATTTATGCAATTCAAAATATATTTATAATATTTCTTAATTTTGCTGAGAGAATTGTGGAATCGTTAAAATTGAATCGAAGAAAACTAATAAATATATAAATATATCAATTGAATCTGGATTAGTACCAGTAAGGAGGCCGTGCAATGGTTTCGGCGGTGCTTCGCGGTGGGAATTTTACTTTTCCTGATGAGCAACACATCCCGATCGGCTCATTTTTAAATTGAAGGACATTCCTTGTCCAATGAACCAATGACCAGTTTGGACTGATCGTAATACTCAACGTTGGACTCATACTGAAATGCTAGGCGAAGCAATGAATGTGAAGTAAATGCACGAAGTACTTGTTGACGTGGTCGGTCCTACGTCTGGGGACTACGAATCTGGGCGCTTCTCTTCGCTCATCTCGTGTCATCGGCTTTGCTTTGCTGCCTTTCTTCATCTGATCTTTGTGTTCTCCTATCTTGCATGCCTCTAGCTTTGAGTGTTCGACGACTCGAATTAGCTGAGCCCTACTGGGTGAATTCTCAGTGACAATGCAAGGATCCTCAGTAGGAATCAATGCCCCATTGTACATTGCGTCACTGAATGATATCGTAAGGTCGTTGCGTCAAAAATGAGAAAGAATGAAGGGTGGTCCGCTCCTTAAGCTTGGGGCTATGAAAAATATATGTTGACCGATTCTTGGTCTTTCCCGACCTGCACACAAAATTCGTGAGAATTGAAGACTGAAATCTCAAATAAATACTTCAATATATACCTTATTTCTTATATACATATAAAGCTTGTATATATTCATATATTCACGCTGCTAAAAAAAAACCAAGGGAAGGGAAAAAATTTTCCCGAAATGAATTAGGAATAGAAAAACAACTCGCAAGAAATTGTAATACGCCAAATGGCACCCAAACAAAAAAGAGGCAATGCACAAACAAAAAATATAACAAAAAAAAAATAAAATAAAAAACAAACAATTTTCGCGAAAACTGCATAAAACTAATGCAAAACGGCGGGAGAAGAAAAAAATCAGCAGCAGAGGCGGAAAATATGACGAAAATAGTGGAAATCGAGCCGAATAAAGGGTCAAGCGCTGGCAAACCTCAACAACCCTCGTAAAACCCTTTGAGGCTGTGCGGGAGTGGGAGAGAAGGAGAGAGCGAGCGAGCGAGCGAGCGGGCCTGACCGCATGCAAGTGTGAGCGAGTGCGTGAGCGAGCGAAAGAGCGAGGGAGCGAGGGAGTGAGTGAGTGAGTGAGTGTACGACTCACCCCTTTGCCTTTGCTCTCTGGCCCAGTGCGCTGCGACTACCTGCGGCTCCTTGTTGCGGCCGCCATTTTAGTGCGAGTGCAACGGTAAATGAATGAATCGAGCGGCCGCTGCGACGGCGTATAAAAGGCGGCCGGAATGTCGTTTTGAAATCAGTTAACGTTCGACAACGTCAGCGTGTAGACAGGCGACACACACACACACACACATAGAGACAGACAAACACTCACAGCAGCTACACACGATACCGCACACACACACACACACATTTTTGAGCAAGACTTTGGAATAGCAGCAAACATGTTGATGCACGAGAAACTCTTGGCTGGGCAGTTCTTTGATCTAAAGACTGGTAAGTGTAGCCACGCCCCCTCTCATCAATGCCAAGCCCGTATTTTAACACGCTCTCTCTCTCTCTCTCTCTCTCTCTCTCTCTCTCTTTTGCTGTGCAGATCGCAAGCCGTTGCTGCATCATCATCATCACTCGCATCATCTGCAGCAATATCAGCTGCCCCACAGCCAATTGCAGCAATCGCACCACCTACACCACCATCAACAGCAGCAGCAGCATCACCAGCAACAGCAACAACAGCAGCAGCAGCAGCAAGCATCGCATCTGACTCTGCCCAAAATGGATCTGTATGCCGCCTACGCCTATCAGCAACAGTTGCTGGGCAGTGCAGCCGCCGCCGCAGCGCTCAGCCAGCAACAGCAGCAGCAGCAGCAACAGCAACAGCAGCAATCTATTGCTGCTGCCGCTGAGGTGCTGGATTTATCGCGTCGCTGCGATAGCGTGGAGACGCCGCGCAAGACTCCATCTCCGTATCAGACCAACTACAGCTATGGCAGCGGCTCACCAGCCGCCTCGCCCACAGCCATTCCCAGCAATCTGCTCTACTCCGCACAGGCAGCCGTCGCCCAGCAGCAGCAACAGCAACAGCAGCAGCAGCAGCAGCAGCTGGCTTCGCTCTATCCGGCCCTTTACTACGGCAGCAGCATCAAGCAGGAGCCGAATGCCGTCGAAGCTGTGGCCAAGTCCGGCAGCAATGCCACCGCCAGTCTGCTGCAAACCTTTGCCGCCGCCTCGGCTGCAGCGGCAGCTGCTGCGGCCGTCTCGGCCAGCGCAGTGGAGCACTCGCCACGCCCGGCCAGCAATGCCAGCACCATGCAAATCGATGTCCTGGAGGCCCCACAGTCGCCGCCTGCATCCACCAGCGATAGCCAGCTGCACGGCAGCAGCAGCAACAGCGCCACCCACACGACACCCACCAGCAGCACCGCAGCACCACTGTCCATCGCCGCTGGCGTGGATGGCAGCAAGAATACGCGTCCGTTCAAGGCCTTTCCCCGTGATCCGCTGGTGATCGCGGCCAATTTCGCAGCCACGGATGTGTTGCTGGATAATCCACGTGTGGAGCGCTATACCGAATACCGTAAGCGCGTCCTGGAGCAAATTCGCAGCTCCAATGGCGGCTCTCGCACGGTGACCAATCCGAAAATGCGACGCACCAACTCGCGCAGCGGCAGCGTCAATGAGGGCAGCAGCTCCAACAACAACAGCGAAAGCGAGGATCGTGCCGCCGCCGAGGAGTCCAGCGACTGTGACTCCCATGCCGGCAACTTCGAGAAGCTATCGGCCACAGCAACAGGCGCTGGAGGTGGTGCTGGAGCAGCAGCAGCTGCAGCAGCCGCTGCAGCCGGCACACTCATCGGCAGCGGCAGCCAGGTGAAGGATGCGGCCTACTATGAGCGTCGGCGCAAGAACAATGCAGCGGCCAAGAAGTCCCGTGATCGTCGTCGCATCAAGGAGGATGAGATCGCCATTCGGGCTGCCTATCTGGAGCGTCAGAATATCGAGCTGTTGTGCCAGATCGATGCGCTGAAGGCGCAGCTGGCCGCCTTTACCGCCAAAGTAACGGTTTAGGCAGCGATAGCCAGATCGCTGTTATCGATAACCAGAATCGATTGCCAGATTGCCAGCTGCTTGTTGCGTTGAACGCGTTCGAGTCTCAGTTCCGTTTGGTTTCCACAATTCGATTTCAGCATGTGTTTTTTTTTTAATCTCAAGGAGGGGCAGCTTATCTGTGAATACTTTCATACTGTTTCTTCTATGCCATTTTGAAGCCACATCCACTGCTTCTAATTCGTACAGTCTGCGGTTTTTATATATTTAAGTGCATTACTATTTTTTTTTCGTCTCAAGTATTTTAAGTACTTTAAGTTCTAGGGCTTTTAGCGCAAAATCTCACCAGTTAATTAATATAGACAACTAATTATCATATTGTATAGTACAAGAATAATTTCTAAGCAACACTTTTTTTTCATATCTCTAAGCAATAAAAATAAATTTAAAAAAATAACTATAACGTCTGTTTCCTTGATAAACTGGCGCCATCTAGAGTTAAAGGTAGCCTTGCTGCAGGGCAAGCAGTGTAGCAGTCAGCTTTTTGTCATTGTGCTTACGATTGAAATCCTTTCGTGTGAACACTGTGTGAATTAGCAACGCTCGGTGAGCGAGGGTGAAGCAAATCAGCAGTAGTTGATTTAAATAGAAGAGCTTAGCTTTAAAAATGCGAAGGATATGCGTTCTGAATGCTTTGCCACGCCTATAATAAACGCATCAATGATTAATCTATGTCAGTTAAATGCGCCGAGTAAATACAGACATGCATACAAGACATATGTACATTCATATGTACATACATAATATATTGTAAGGCATCGAGGAGATGAACAAGTAGTCGGGATTTGGATGCATACAGCCGATATAGCTACTGATCAAGAATCTGATTTCAAAATACAGCCACAATCGTCTGTTTCTGTCTATTTGCCCTTAGCCCTTAGTGGCGCCATCTGTTGACCTTAAATGCGTAAAGTTAAAGTGCAGGGCCACCGAAGTTACGCAGCAAGCATCTTTTGTTTGGCGGTTGTTGAAATATACAAAATTAAAGAATTTTCATACTTTTATATTTTTCTCAATTTTTATTTTCAATTTTCGTTTTTTTTTTTACGTTTGTCGGCCCGTTTTTGTTTTTTACTGGTTTTTTTATTGTATTTTTTTCTTTTCTTTATCATTAATACTAAGTGTACGCATTAAAGGTAATATATATATATACATACAAATGTGTATATATATGTATATATATTATTTAATTGTTAATTCATTCATTAATTGTAGGCTTACTAAAAATTGTTAATGTTTGTTTCGTTTTAATCAGCTATGTTGCTTCTCAAATTATATAATTACGATCTACTACTACGACCCAAAACTGGGTTTAAACGAACAACAGCTTCATTTTCGCTTGTTTCTTCCTCTTCTCTCTGCTCTTCTACACTCATCTCTTTCGTACTGGTTCCCTCTTTTGTTTTTGTTTTTAGTTTAGTTTAGTTCTAGTATTAGTTGTAGTTTAGTGAAGTTCTTAGTAAGTTTACATTTTAGTATGTTGTGGTTCAGTTTAGCTTTTTATTTTGTTTTATTATATATTTATTTGTTTTGTTATTTTTTTGTTTATGCATCGTATAAGGCTAAGACGTTTGCTAAACTAATCTCTTGTATTTGCATTTGTTTTTCGTTTATATTTTACATTTGAAATATTTTACAGTTTTATCGCGCTCCCTCATTTATTAGTTAACAAAGTGTCGACAACAATTATTTGCTAAAATGCCAGCGCCTGGTTTAAGGCTACAAATTTCATATCGTTTCTCGTTTAGAAACATCCATGTGCTTGTGGGCGGGGCGGGGGGCGTGGCAGGGAGGGCTGTTAAAATGTGTTTTAATGTATACAGAATTAGTGTTTTGTTTTTGTTATAGTTGATGCATGTTTTTTTTTTGTTATTTATTTGGATATACGAATAGTAAGGAAAACTTTTTGCATTAATTTGTTTTAATTCTCGTATCTTTATTTTTGTTTATACATATATATATATTTCTATATATATATATATGTATATATACACATGTATATATATTTTTTATTGATATTTTTCTTTCATTCTTCATTAAATGCTAAAATTAATTATAGAAAAAAAAGTTATACATATATATATATATATATATTGAAATACATGTATATATATATATATAGTTAAAAAAAGCTAATTTACACAATTAGAAGTGACATCTTTAAGGGGTTGCGGGGTTAATTTGGGGGCATAACAACATAAGTATATAGTGGGGACGTGTACTAGGGGCGGGGGAGAGTGTATTGTAAGGGCCTTGTGTGGTATTGTAACTTGTATACATGTTCAATAAGTTGTTACGTAAAAGAACTCACACACACACACGTGCGCACACCCACACACACACACACACTTATATTTATATTCACTTTCCGCCTGACATATATATATATATATATATATATATATGTTTATATACAAAACAAAATTAACTTTTTAGCAAAGGAAGAGTGAGATGGAAATTACAGTTAGATTCGCAAATAAGTGATATTACTATGCGATCGCAGGTGACCCGCATTACGTTACACAACACTACTACAACTAAGACAATATGTAAAATTGTTACTATGTGTGCATATAATATATATTCTATTTTCTATTTCTATTTATGTTTCAATTTCAGTTTTATTATTGTTGCACACGCTGAACGTCTTTAAGCCGCACTGGTTAGAATAAGGTCAGGAGCCATACAATAAGCACTAATTAAATGGAGTTTTTGACTATTCGACTGGCCCATGGGTAAATATACCTCATATGCGCCAGTCGCATAACTGAAGATCTTCATGGAAGTACAATATATTTAAAAAACAAAAATATACATTAAAAAAAAAATTGGAATCTGATTTTATTGCTAGAATTCAAGTGTAGAAAAAAAAAATATAAATATATATATATATATATATATATATCTCTTAATCAGCTCATCATTTCGAGTTATCAGAACGAAAACGAAATCCATATCTCGCCAATGACTTCAGCATCAATAATATTTCTATGGCAGCTATATAGATGTCGTATATATATTTATATATATATATGCTCTAAGCTATATGTGTATATGTATAACTCTGTGTTTTCTAATCATTTCTCGTTTGGAATCCGGCTCTAGTGTGGCTTCATAAGGGCACAAAACAAAACTGCGAGCAATATGTATGCCAGTGCAGCAAAAACGAACAGTTAACAATTATTTAAGGCTCTCAAGGAATTTGACATTAAAGACAAGTGAATGTTACGAACCCTTTGCGAGTTCGATTTGTATATTTTATATATTGCATATAGGTTTTTCTTTTAGTTTTAGTTTTTGTATTTTTGTTTTTTATGTTTTTTTTTGGGCGGGAGCGGGATTAAAGCAAAAAAAAAAAATAGGTGTGTGGGTGTGTGTTTCTCTATTCTCTATTTACTATACAGTTTGATGTGTTTTTTGTTTATCGCTTTGCCTTGCACTCATGTGATGTTTCAGCTTATGTTTTTTTGTTGTTTGCCTATTTTTAGGTTTTTCTAATTGAACGCACACACACACACATTCACTCACTCATTCATACACTCACTCTCTCTTTCTCACACACACACACAAAAAACACTTTTTGTCAATATTTACGAATTGTTTTGTTTTGTTGTTACATAAAAAATTTCGTTGCTACTTAAAAACTAACTTTGCACTTAAATATATAAGTATATACTATATACCATAGTATATATATATGTATATATAGTATATAAGTTTCTTTTGTGTATTTACCTATGCATATGCGTGTGTGTGTGTATGTGTGTGTTACCGTACGTGTGGTATATATGCTTATATATACGAACTTTTGTTAACAATGTTTCTTCTTTTTTTTTGTAATTCTCTATTATGTTTGCTTTTTCTCTTTGTGCACATACACTCCTCTGAGTGTACGTGTGTGTGTGTGTGTGTGTGTGTTGTGTAACTAAATTATATAATGTAAAATCTAACTGGATGTTCTTGTTTCTTGTTTATGCACTTAATTGTTTAAATTAGTTAACAAGTATAAAAAAAAATTAATTGCTTAAACGTAGAATTTAGAATCTTAACGCCTAAGGATAATCAAATATTACAATGCAAGTATCAATAATAATAATAATCATAATAATAATAGTAATATTATATTAATAATATTGTTAATAAAAAAAAAATATATATTATTTATTTAATTTGTTTTCTTTTTTTTTGTGGGTGTGTGTGTTTTTGTTTTTGTTTTATAACCAAAGGAAATTTGCCTTTTTTTGTTAGTGTATTCTTGTGTTGTCTGTATAAACGTGTATGTGTGTGTGCGTGTGTGCTTTCCTGCTTGAATCTATACACAATGCATACATACATATGTACATTGCTAATGGTATGCATACCATGTGTGTGTGTGTGTGTCTGTGTGTGTGTGTGTGTGTGTGTGTGTGTGTAATTGTAGTTGATTTAACATAATTATAATTACTTCGAACATTGCTTATGTTTAACAATTATAACATTGTCGATGTTGTTGTTGTTGTTGTTGTTGCTGCTGCTGTTGTCGTGTGTTGTTTGTACACGCACTTCTTAAAATGTATTATTTTTTGTTGCTTCTCTTTTTTGTTTGTTGTTGTTGTGCCAGCCTAACTTTGCTGTTGTCAACACTCTAGACTTGTTCTTCCCATTTCTTGTCATTTTTGTTGTTGTTGTCCTTCTTCTTCTTCTTCCTTGTTTTATTCACGGTGTTTTCTGTGGTGATGCGACCGCCGTCTATGTGAATGCAATCTGGGTCCACCGCTATGAGACTTGCTGTGGGATCTGCTTGTCGACGACGCAGCCGTCGCGGCCGTTGCCTACAGAGTCTCTTCAAAGGCGGCCATGAGATCGCTCTGCATGTTCATATCGATTTGTCCAGCCATCTGCATAGAAGATCAAGAAATATTAGAGAAACATCAATGCGGATTCTACATCTATCCAAATCTCTGTCTATTTACCGCTTCGCGTCTGCGTCTCTCCTGTTCGGCGCGTCGCTGCTCCGCCCGTTTGGCAGCCGCACGATCCTGCGGCGATGGCTGCGCCGGCGAATTCTGTCCCTGACCCGGCGACGCCTTAATGTCGTCCATTCGCGATATCTGCGGCTGCACATCGTGCACGCTTTTCCTATACAAATGAGGAAGAACAAGAGAGCAGGATAATGAATGAGTTGCATGGATGACCATCAGGAGGTTTCTCTTTGACCACTAACCGTCCACTTTCCATGGCACCCAGTGGTGAGGCAGCCAGCACTGAGGCAGAGACCGCTGCGGTGGCTTGTGCCGCTGCCGCAGCAGCTGCGGCCGCCGCTGCCGCATGCTGAGCCTGGGCACTGCTGGCGGACTGATGCCCGTTGCCGGAGGCAGTGCCACCGATTGAGGCGCCACCACCAATGCCCAGATTGCTGCCGTTGCTGCCGCTAGCCGCACTGCCGCCGCCACCGCCAGCACCACTGCTGTTGCCGCCGCCCTGGCTGCTGGAGCCGGTGCCAATGTTGCCGCCAAGACTGCTGTTGCTGTTGCTGCTGGCCGCCCCGCTGCCGATGCCGCCGCCGCTGTTACTATTGCTGCCGGCATTGGCCAGGTGTCCGCCACTGGCGCTGCCGCCGCTATTGGCGCCACCGCCAGCAGCACCACCGCTGCCGCTGCCGGCACTGCCAGGTCCATTGCTGTTGGCCGAGTTGCTGCTGTTGTTGCCGCCGCTGCTGCTGCCGATGCGCGATGCATCTGTGGCACTGCTGCTCGCCCGATCGCGTTCACCGCTGCTCTGCGAGCCCGACTGAGCCCCCGAATTGCCGGCATTGTTGTTGCTGCTGCTGTTGTTGCCGTTGTTATTGTTGTTGTTGCTGTTACTGTTGCTGCTGCCAACACTGGCTGGATTGCCAGCCACATTGGCGAGCGCAGCAGCAGCCGCCGCCTGTGTTGCTGAGACTGCCGCCGCCGCAGCAGCAGCAGCAGCAGCGGCCGCAGCTGACGCTGACGAGGAGGATGAGGAGGACTTGTGATGCTTGCGCTGCTGCTGCTGTTCCTTCTCGGCAGCTTCCTTCTGGTGCTTCTTCTCCTTCTCGGCCGCTTCGAGCAGCTTGAGGCGATCACGTTCTTTGGCTTTGTTGCGGAATTGCTGGAACGAGTCCATGGCCGGCTTGGGCTTGCTCGACGTTGTCGCCGTGTTCTGCGGTGAGCTGGCCGATGCCAGCGACGACCAGGAGCTGGCATTCTTTAGATTCTGTTCAACAGTCTTGAACACCGGGAAGCCGGCGTGTGCACCAACGCCGTGCATCTTCAGATCGGAGGGCGATTGCTGTGGTGGCAGCACCTTCTGATGTTGCTGCTGCTGCTGCTGCTGCAACTGGTGCTTGTCGGGCGGGCTGGGCATCATCGATTCAATGGGCTTCGGTATGATTAGCATTTTGTTGGCCGCCTGACTGCCGACCTGATGCTGCTGCTGTTGATGGTGATGTTGCTGCTGTTGGTGATGGTGTTGCTGCTGCTGCTGCTGCAGTTGTTGTTGTTGCAACTGTTGTTGCTGCAACTGCTGCTGCAGCTGCTGTTGTTGCAACTGTTGCTGCTGCTGGTGGAGCTGTTGTTGCTGCTGCTGCAACTGCTGCTGCTGCTGATCACCATCCTTGAGCTTGCCACCCGCATTGCCCATCATCATGGCCATTGGCATCGTGTGATCCAGCAAGCTGGACGAGGACATATTGAGATTATCGAAGCCTGCCATTCCACTAAAGTCGGCCACATTGTAGCCATTGTTGTGCGCCTGCTGTTGCTGCTGCTGCTGCTGCTGTTGCTGCTGTTGCGTCTGATGGCTGTGCTGCTTCTGCTGGTAGGCAGCCGTGGCCAGGTCCATGTTGAAGATGCTGTTGTTCAGCAAATGGTTGCCATTCATGCCGGCCACATTCTCCACGCTCTTCGTCAGCAGCTCGGTCATGTAGTCCATTTGCTGTATCTGCTGCTGTTGTTGCTGTTGTTGCTGCTGCTGCTGCTGTTGCTGCTGTTGCAGGGCGAATTGCTGTTGCTGCTGCGCCGTCTGCTGCTGATTGCCGCCCGGCTGCTGCATCAGGTGCGCCTGGTGGGCCATCAAAAAGTTATCCGTCAGTGAGGACTTGCCCGTGGAGGAGGCGCTAAACTCCAAGGAGGCCAGCGACTGCTCCACGGGATCATCGAATTGCGGTATCTGCTTGAGGCCGGCCGCTAGCGAGGCGCTCGACAGGCCATCGCTAACGCCCATGCCCGCATTGCTGTTGCTGTTGTTGTTGTTATTGTTATTGTTATTGTTGGCATTACTACTGCTATTGTTGCCGGTGGAAGCGAGCGCCGCTGCCAGCGCCGCATGGTGATCGCTCGCCTCGGGCTGCTTGTGCAGATTGCTAGCAATCCGTATGCCACCCACGCTGCCCGCCGCCGCCTGCGCAGCAGCGCCAGCTGCCGCTGCTCCGCCATAGCCGTGCGGCGGTATTCTCGCAGCAGCGGACGCACCCGTATTCATTGCAGCCACCCCGTTCTTATGATGGCCCGACGAATGCAGCATACTGCCCGGATCGAAGCTGCCGCCACTCGACCCCGTCTTGTTGTTGTTGTTCATCATGGCCGCTGCGACCATCGTATTGGCATTGCTCAACAGGTTATCTGGGATGGGATTGGATCGAATGGAATGGACACAATTCACGCAACAGAAATGGATATATGAAAAGGAGGTAGATGAGAACGAGATGAGTCCAGTTTAGTCACAATGTCAATGTGATCGATCTACTCACTCATTTGATGTGTGGGCGTGGTGACATCCTGCATGGTGTTCAGCAGCTGATCCACATGCTCCAGATGCATTTGCATTTGCTGATGTTGTTGCGCCGTTGGCATATTCGTCATCATACTGCCTATGAGACTCTGAATTTACAAAATGAGAGGCAATCAACAGAGAGTGTGTGTGAGAGAGAGATAGATAGAGTGGATGATGATGAAAGAGGCACAGTGTGATTACTATTGGAAACACACACACACACACCAGTAGAGACTTACGAAGAGAAGCTCTTATTATAATCTATAATATTAACTGTATCTATCAAGATCTACCCAATTGAAGCTCAGAGAGTTCCGAGATATTGGATTAGAATGTAGCTTGCATGCTTATTGCTAAGGATTGAGCTGTAAAGCTTTTCTAGATGCTACTAATATCTATAAGGCTTTTAGCTAAACCCAAGTCTTCAAATACGTATCCCTATAAAACGCTTATATAGCTGTTTGGACTATTGGAGAAATGGAATTTAGCATGTAAAATGAAATACTACTGAGAAATCAAATACTATTTAGGTCTATTTAGAGTGGAAAAATCAAGCGCTCCAAAAGAGCTGACATCTCATAGGGTGTAAGGATCATTGAGAGCAATACAGGTGTATGCTCCAAAGTTGCTGTTACAGCAAAAATGATAAAGTTGGAGTGTCTGAAAAAAGCGTCTATAGACTTTTCTTAAATGAGATTAAACACGGACGTTAATTCAACGAGCAGCTTTCGTTCTATAACGAGGAACGTTTATGGATCACTAATTATTATCATCATTATCAATCCTACTCCTCTCTGAATGAAGAAATCTTAACAGATTCTCTATGGCCTAGAGCACGACATAGAAACGGTGGTTCACAATATAAACGAACAGTTCACAATAATAACATTGGGAACATTTAAGTGGAATGTTGATCTTTGTTAGATATATCCATGCAACTATCGAAAGCTATGTCATTACGTTACGTTACGCAACGTTGCGTTACGTTAAATTTAAACAGCTTCACGTTTTACGTATTTGATGGGCTTTACTCGATTATAATTACGATATTCATTCTATCAAAGTCTATATTGTCCCGCCTCATTCCGTACCCAAATCACGTGTATATATAGAGCTTAGTTTAATCATATATCTGAATGCTACGGCTACTTACTTGCGGATCACGTGGTTTTTTCTTGCGCGGTGGTCGATCGTCAGCATCGCCTGAAATTTTACGATATTCAATATTAGTAAATTGTCGAAATTATTGAAAAAAAACAAAATATATTTTTTTGTTTGTTGGTTGATTAAAGTGAGCAGGAAAGTTTAGGAGGTTAACGTTAGAGAGCAATAAATAAATAAATAAAATTTATTATACATATATATCGAACGAGAGTTATGTGAGTTATGTGGGTTAAAATTAAGATAAATGCAGGAAAATATTAATTGAATTAAAAGTTAGGTTTAATGTGAGCGCACTTACATACATATATGTATGTATATACATACATATACATATACATATACATATACATATATGTATATATATACATAGATATATATAAGCTATAGCATTTATATATAGTGTGCGTATGTAGGTTTTTTTTTTGTATATGTTTGTGTGTGTGTGTGTGTGTGTGAATGAAAAATACCTCGATACAATTGTGGAGAACGCTGAAACCAATGTGAAGCAATTGTCGTTGGGTGGAGGGGGAGTTGGGGGCAGGGGGAGACGGGCGCAGCATTTACGGGCGGGCAGAGATTTGATTTCTTTTTTGTAGTTGTATTTTTTTTTTACCAACTCTCACTACCCTGACTCCCTCCTCCTCTCTCTCTCTCTCTCTCTCTCTCTCTCTCTCTCCCTCGCTCTCTGCCTCTTTCAATGTCTGTCTGCCTCTCCGCCCACTGCCTCTTTTCTCCCTCTCTCTCTCTCTTTCTCTCCCCCTCTCTCTCTCTCTCTCCCAAGCCTAAACTCTGTAAAAAGTAGAAAGAACTGCCACGGCAAAAGAGAGAAACGCAACCAAAGCCAGCCAGCGCACAAGAGCGGATCATCAACCAACCTTTACATATCATATATATATTGTTTATATATATATATATATATTTTACATATTTCATGTCGTTTGTTTTCTTCTTTTTTTTTAGTATATTATTTGAAACGGAAATTAAAATGTTGTTGAAAGAATGCAGAAACACACAGTTGTATATATTTTTTTTGTTTCTTTTTAATAAACATTTTTCTTTGTTGTTGTAATCATTGCCTTTTTTTTAGTTTTTTGTTGTTGCGCTGCATTTTGTTGTTTTTGTTTTTTTTTTTTTTCATCTCTTAAACATATTATTTATTGTGTTTTAATTATTATTTTGTTTTCATTCTTAGCAGCTGTTTTTTAATATTAAATATTATTTTTACTATAAATATTTGTAGATATAGGTATAATGTGTATGTGTGTGTGTGAGTGTGTGTTAGTGTTATTGTTAAATTTGCAAATAATTTATAATGCGTCTTTATGCTAAGTGTGTGTGTGTGTGTGTCAGTTGTTTGCATGTGTCTGTGTATGTGTGTGTGCGTTTATCGTCTGTTCTCTGTTTTCCTCTCTTCTAATTTGTTTCCTTTTTCTTTTAAGTTTTCCTGCCCTATTTTTATGTTGCCTTTACCTAAGATTTTTACTATGTTATTTGCATTGAATTGATTTTATTTTATATATATATTTTTTTTTATAATTTGGCTTTACATGTGTCTGTGTGTGTGTGTCTATCTCTCTGTGTATGATTGTATGGGCATAAAAAAAAACTTTTGCTTGTTTGCTGTTGAAACCAAAAATGCATTTTTTTTTTTGCTTAAAAATTTTTTTTTTTTAGTTTTTTTTTTACAAGACTTTGAGCGTGTTTACATATGTGTGTATGTGTGTGTGTGTAAGATGTTTTGGGTGTTTCTTTCTAACTCACTTTCTTTTACTCTCTACTCTGTCACTATATCTTGCTTTCTCTCCCTCTCCCTCTCTCTTTACCTACTCGTGTTATGTTTTGTTGTTGCTTCTAGTCTTCTGCTTCTGCTCCTCGCTAGAAAACAATTTCTTTTTTTTAATATATAGACATCTAAAAGATTTAGAGGCCAAACAAATCTAACGTAGAGTAAAAAATAAATTGTAACATAATTTTTTTGCGCATTTTTTCGGCATTTTAAAAATAATTAATATAATTTTCTTTTTTGAGTAAAAAAAAAAATTTAAAAAGGCCTAAAAATTTTTTTGTTTTTTTTTATTAGTTGTATGTGTGTCATTTTTGTGCAGGTGTGTGTATTTTCGTTATCTATTAGCAAAAAAAAAATTAAATAAATAAATAAAAAAAATAATAAAATCAAATATATATATATATAGAACAATATATACATATATGTAATTTCGTTTGCTGTTGTTGTCCTTGCGTGAAATAATGTTGAAACATGGTTTTTGTTTTTATTTTGTATTTTAATGTATTTATATTATTATTATTATTATTGTTGGTGTTGTTGTTTTCTGCTTTGCTGCTGTTTTCATTTAGTTTAATATTAAAATTGTTTTATATATTTAAATTTATTTAATGCAATTTGTTGTTTACGTTTTAATTCATTTCTATATATTTTTGCTTTTTCATTTTGCTCTTTTTTTGTTTGTTTTTTTTTTTTTTAAGAGTTTTTTTTTATCATTACTTTTTTTTTTTTTTTTGAAAAAACGTGCAAACAATGTGTAAAGGGGAAAGCCGACAGCCGAAAAATAAATAATAAAATGCGTTTTGAAAATACATTTAATTATTTGTTTTTGTTTCTTTTTTTTTAAACCTTCTCTTTTTTCTATATATATATATATATATGTATGTATGTATGTATATATCTGTGTACATATGCCTGTACATACCTAAACTATATATATATAAGATGTATATATATACACATGTGTATATACACTGCACGGAGTCCAAAAACAAACTCCATGCCTCGACATTTTCAACTAGAACTTGACTCTGATTTTTCATTCTTTTCTTTTCTCATATATATATATATGTATTAATATATATTTTGTTATTTATTTTTGCAGTCTGTCTGTGCGGTCTGTAGATTTCTTGTTTTCTTTAGTTTTAGTTTGGGTTTACAGATTTTATTTTATTCTTTTTTTCTTGTTTAACTTTACTTTTTTTTTTTTTTACTTTCCTCAACTTCATTCGCTTTTCATTTAACATTTAGTTGGTGTCTTTTTTTCCCCGTTTTCTCTGCTGCTGTTGTTGTTGTTGTTGTTTTGTTTTAAGGTTTTAAAAAAATGTATTGCTTGTCTCATATATATATACACATCTAAAGTATATAAATAGATCATAATTCCGCTCGATTTGCTGCCCCTGTGGCGTCTATAAATTTATTTTTAGTTATTAACTAATTTACGAGTTTCCCTTTATCGAATTTCTTTAACTATTCACTCGTAACTGCAGCTGTCTGTATGTATATATGTATATAGATTCTGTCTGTGTCTGTGTGTGTGTTTAAGATTGATTTGTGCTTGCTTGGAAGTAGTTTACAGTTAGAGCTTCAAATTGGAAGAGTACAGCATACTTTAAAAATTAGAAAACAAATCACATTTAACGGCAAATACAATGAACATACAACAAATTGTTTTTCCTTTTCTTTTTCATTTCTTTTCCTTTCCTTTCCTTCCCTTTCATTACGTTCCCCTGACCCGCCCCGAGCCGATGGAATTCATTGAGATATCAAGCAAACTTTAAGCACTGTGCATAGTGGGCAGAGCCATACGAAATATGAAATCAATTTGTGTATTGAGCACATATAATATTTAAGCCCAGCATTACGCCTTTGTGTGTGTGTGTGTGTGTGTGTGTGTGTATTTGTGTTGTTTTTGTTAATTGTTTGTATCATCATTTAATTTTTGTTAATTTTGTATCTAGCTAACTACTTATATAACACCCTTACCCTCCCCACCCGCTTACCCCATCCCTTGTCCGCTCTCTGAAACAGTCAAGCTAATTCTCACTGTATTTTTGCTTACAAATTGTTAATTAATTAATTAATTAATATACGTATTTGCTAATCGTTGATAATTGGTGTTGTTGGTTGACTTTTGTAATTTGTTTGTTTGTTTTTCTTTCTTTCATTCGTATTCTTTTATCATACTTTCTTATTTTTACACATTGTCTGCAAGTGTATTTTTAATATCAATTTCAATTTCAATTATTTTTCATTGGCTTTTTTTGTTTTGTTTTGTTTTTTTTTTTCGTATTATTATTATTATATTTTTTGCTTATTTTTTATTTACTATTTGTTTAAATAATGCACATATGAATTGTGTGAGTGTGTGTGTGTGTGTGTGGTTGTTGTTTGTATGTTTTGAATTTTATCAGTGTTTCATAATTTGCTATTATTTTTGTTGGATTTTATCTTTGTTCTCTTTAAAGAGTTATAAAACATATAAATATATATGTTTATATCATATTGAAACTGTTTTTTATATATATATATATATATATAAATCTATGTATATATACACACATATATATACTTACATACATATACATATACATAAGCTGCATTCACGCTCTCTAATGTCTGTTCGTACGGTGAATGCGCGAGTTCTTGTGTTTGTAAGTGTGTATGTGTGTGTGCGTGTGTGTGTGTGTGGGAGAGAGCTCGCACTAGTCGCCCAACAAAGTAGGCAACAGCTGAAGCTGAAGCTGACTGCTATAAAACAACGCTTGCGCGACAATACAACCCATTGCATGACAGAAAGCTGATTGACATGAGCGCGGACACAACGGAACATTCAAATATTTCGAAGCACGCGCAGCGCTTGCAAAGGAGATTTGAATGTACAAGAAGTGCACGGCAATAGATAATTGAGAGCATCTACAGAATTCCATACTATCATCCCTGTGTTTAGTATTTGAACACAAAGAAAATAAAACAGAGTACAATAATAAATAAATTACAAATAATTAGATAAACACAAACCAGTGTAAAAAAAAATGTAGAATAAAGAGCATTAAATATACAATATGCAGAGACAGAGAGAGAGAGAGAGGGAGAGAGAAAGTGATAGAGTGACTAACAAAATACGACACATATATGAGTAAGAGATACAGATGTGGATCCGATCCACATGGAACTGTGTAAAAGTCAACTTGATTGATTGACTGCGATTGAATAATTGATGAGGCAATTAAAAATGCATTAAAAATTACAACACAAATTAACAAACAAATAAATAATAACTAATTTG